GCACACACAAACCCCCTGCCTGGGGTGCTGGGTGCCCTTGGCTTTGGGTGCTGGGTTCCTGTTGGCTTGGGTCCCCTTGCATTTGGGTGCTGGGTTCCCTTCCCAGCCCATCCTGAACTCAAACCTTGCCTTCCCCTCCGCTGCAGGACGAGCGTTTGCCTGGGGAATGGGCACCAACTACCAGCTGGGCACCGGGGAGGAGGACGACGTGTGGAGCCCGGTGGAGATGACGGGGAAGCAGCTGGAGAACCGGCGGGTGCTGGCCGTGTCGAGCGGAGGGCAGCACACCGTGCTGCTGGTCAGGGACAGGGAGCAGAGCTGATGGAGTGACGCCGCAGCCGAGCCCAGCGGGACCCACACACCCCCCACACCTCCCACCCGGCTCAGGGGGGCTGATTTCCAGCTCTGGGGGGAGGGCAGGAGGCTCCTGGAGCGCCGGGCCCGGCGTGGCTGGAGCAGGGAGTGCTCCCGTGTTCTCCCTGCCAGTGTTGTGTCTGTCTGCCCGTGGCGCTCTGTCAGCTCCCGGGGTCGGCTCGGTCCTAAACTGGTCCCAACTCTGTGCCTGGATGGGTTTTCCACTTCTTCTCATCTCTGTTTTTTAATGTTTCCCAGCCTGGCAAAGCCGAAGGTCTTGTTCTTCACTGCACAATCAGGTTTGGGCATCTCCCTGAGCGTGTTCCCCACATCTGGGTGCTCCTCCATCCCCTTCACCCAAACATCTTTTACCTCCTGGGCCTGGGTTTGCCCACTGCCACCCACCAAACCCCTCTGAGCTCCTTCCAGGGGGATCTCAGCCTGGCAGGAACGTTCCCAAGGGAGCTCTACCCTTGCATCCGGATGCAGTGGGGAGATCCTGCCTGGCAAGGGGGAATGCTGCTGGAACACTGTGACTGCTGGAAAAGAATGGGAAGGGGGGCTCCTGCCTCCCACCCCTCACAGTTCTGAGCCAAAACACCCCAGGCAACAAGGCTTGGGAGCAGATTCCCTGCTCCCTCCACCCTGGAGCAGCCACCTCCAGCGCTGCTTTTTGCAGTCCTGGCCACTCTCCCTCCTTCCCATTCCACTTGGAAACCCAACAGCATCCATCCCACGGGTGGGAACTTAGTTTAATTTTTTTTTCTCTTTCCCTTGCTGAGGAAGGAGTTTTTATTTGCTGTCAGGGCCTCGCTGAGCAGACACCCAACCCCCAGCTATGCATCGAGTGGCTCGAAACAACGGGACTCCTCCCACCCATCACCTCCCCGACCCAGCTGGTCTCGCTCCCTGTGCCCGGCCCGCCCCATCCTCTCCTTCCAGGAGGTGCCTTCCAGGTACCTGGAGTGAGGAGGGGTCTGCAAAGAGCTGCATTACAGCAATAGGAAGGGGGGTGTGGGATGTGTGTGGGGACACACACACTGGGATTGTACAATGCTTCAGCAGGGGTTGGAGATTTTCTTTTTCTTTTTTTTTTCTTTTTTTTTTTTTTTAAAAAGAAAATGTAAAGTATTTTGGTCGATTAATCAAGGCAGAAAGGACAGAAAAACTTGTCATCTTTTAACATTTGGAATAAATTGAGTTTTTATAAGCCCGGGCTCTTCCTGTGGTTTGGAATGGTGGGCGGCCGTGTCCCGGTGTTCCCGTGCAGTGCTGGGGCGCGGCCGCGGGATGGCAGCAGGAGAAGGCGCTGGGAGAACCGGGAACAGGGAGCTGGGATGCTCCGTGCCATCCCTGTCACCCTCCCTGCAGCTCCCTGCCTGTCTGACGGGCCACCCACGGGCTGTTCGTGTTTCCAGGGACACAGCTGAGCCCACGGCACAGCTGGGAGGGTCCTGGCACACCGTGTGCTCCAGCACGGAGCCTGGCACTGATGGAGCAAATTCCCACATCCTCGTGTGACCCGAGCCCCAGGTCTCTGTTTACACTTAAATTACTTTGGGTAGGAGCTGGTTCCCCAACGAGCCTCTGGCCTGGGATGGGCTTTGGGCACCGGGAGCGGCTCGGGCTGCTCCGAGTGGGATGAGCTGGGCTGGGATTTACAATCAGGGACGGCCTCGTTGGTGTCCAACACAGGCTGGGGGAGCTGGGGGCTCCCACCTTCCACCACTCAAGGTGTGTTTGTGTTGGTGGTTTCAGTCCTGGATGTGCAAAAGGCTTTATTATTCCCTCTAAAGTTGGGGTTGGGGCCCATGGGGAATGTTTTGCTGCCAGGGGACCCAGCCCAGAATTTGCCCTCACTGTGGGCCATGTTCCCTAATCCTGTGGCTAATGCTGCTCCCTGAGGACCATCACCATTTGATGCTCTTCCATGAAATGGGACCTGGATACCTGATGGAGAAACTACTCCTCGTCTTGGGCCAGATTCCCAGTGACAAGCTCAACATTAAGGTCTTGTTTCCAAAACCACCCTCAGCTGCCTGGGAGCCAAGACCCCCCATCCCAGCGCTCCCAGTCCCTCCCCATCCCCAGCACGGGCAGGGTTTTGTGTCCATCCCCCAGCTTTGGGCAATCCCCTTTTACTGAGGGGGAAAACATCCCCGTGTGAATGGGGAGCCCATCGGTGTTGTCAAGAAACCGGGAGGGAAAGAAGGGCTGGGGAGAACAATAGGATTTAAAATATTCGGAGCTGATGAATCAGCCACCGTTGTCTTGGGAGCCAGAGTGACACTTCAGTGGGAAGCTGCTGGAAACTGGGGGAAGGATGAGCCCCCACGCAGCGGGGGGAGAGGGGGGTGAAGGAAAACAACTTAATTGAGGAAAGGGAAATGTCTCATTAACGAGGTTTTGCGCTCACTGAGCGAATTGAGGGCGTTTTGGGGATGAGGAGGAGGAATTTGGGTCCTGGGGGAGGGTTTGGGGGGACCCCTGGCTGTGTCAGGGTCCGGCCTCGGTCCATGGTGGAGGTTTTCCACCCTTCCAGACCCTTCCTCATTGCCAGGCAGTCCCTGTCAGCATCTCCAGCCCTGCACTCCCAGTCCCCATCTGTTGCTATTGGAAGTGCATAAAAGGCTTTTAATTCACAGACAAAAGCTGGGCAAGTGGAATTTGGGGGCTTTACCCTCCTCAGAGGATCAGCCCCGGCAGTGTGGGGCTCTTCTGACCCCGGAATAAAAGCACTTTGAGTGTTGTTTGAAGGGTTTGTGGTGGATTTTTTTGTCTGTGTTTTTTAACACGTTGCTGTTTCGGATGCAAAAACCCCTACCTATGCAGTGCTGCTGCAGGATCTGCCAGGAGGGAATTGCGTCTTCAGGAGGGTTTGGAGGACACTGGGTTGTTTTCTTATTCTCCCTTTCCTGCCTGGAAGAGGAAACGAGCTTTAATTATGGCCAAGCTGCCTGTTGTCGGGGTTTAATGATGGGTCTGCAAGCAACCGAGAGAGTTTGGTCCTTGCACTGGGCTATGTCACCTCCTTGAATCCTGTCATTAAGGCTGGAATCTGGCCAGTACACCCCAGGATAACAGGAATATGTAATGATCTGGTGTGGTTCCTGGTAGAGGAGCGTGTTGGGTGTTTCGGGGACGGGAATTGGGCTGAAATGAGTGATGTGTGGGTGTCTCTGCCCCTCTCCCAAAACTGTTCAAGTCCTGTAACAACAGGGCAAAAAGAAGGAAAACTTTTCACCCGGCTCAGGACATCCCTTGGGAGCTGAGGGAATGGGATTGTGGCTCCATCCCTGCCCAGAGGAGCCTCAGCGCTCCCCCTTCCCTTCCTCCCAGTCCTGTTTACTCAGGGAATAAAAAATAAAGCACAAATCGAGAGAATTTGTAACTCTGACAGGAGAAAAAAAAAAGCCTCTAGGAATTATTTATAATGTCGTGGGTTTTTTCCCCCCTCCTAAATGATGAATTGCAAGACAAGCATCCCTGCAGAGCTGAGAGCCTGGATGCACCCCTGGCTGCTCCAGGGCGAGGAGATGTCCCCCCTGCCCTCCCCAGGAAAACCAAATCCCCTCATTGCCACCTGCATTATTAATTTTATCCTAAAGTAAGCCTAAACCTGCAGACAAAGGAACTGGCGTCATCCTAATTAATCACACGTGTAAAAATAAAGCCTGATACATCAGGGCTCATTGTTTGGCGGATTAAGTAAAGAAAGAAAAGGGGGAAAGGACGTTTTCTGCAGTGGGAAACGTGATTTAGGGCTGAAGGAGTCCCTGGAAATAGCTGGTAGGTGTGTGGCAGCTCCCGTGGGCCGGCACAGGTCGCTGCATTATTCAGCTGCTGGTTTAACTGGGCTGTGAAATCGCTGGAGTCGGGGCCTGGCTCCCATTGCCCAGGGAGCTGGGAGATGGAGAGGGGTCCTGGAGAGGTGCCCCACCACCCCCAGGCTGGAATTCTGGATTTCACACACCCACCCCGTGCTCTTTATGGTTCCCCCTTGCCCTGGGAAATCGCAAACAGAAGTGAGAAATACCTTAAAATGCAAAGTCTCAGTAAGCCCAAGAGGAGTTTCAGGCTCCAACACCCGTTTCTGTTGTTTTTTTTTCACTAAACCCTCATTTGCATTTAAATTGCAAAAAATGTAATTTGGGCCAGAATTCGAGCTGCTGGGCTGTTAAAATGAAATTGTATCTTGATGACCAGCAGCAACAGAGGCTTTTTATTACCAAGGCTTGGAAATAACTTCAGCTAAAGGGTCTCAGGGGTTCGTAAAGGTGAGTTTTTCTAAGTCCAGGTGAGCTTTTAGAGCTTGAATTTAGGATCATGGAACAGTTTGGATTGGAAGGGACCTTAAAGATCATTTTATTCCACCCATGCAATGAGCAGGGACACCTTCCACTAGCCCAGGTCGCTCCAAGCCCCCTCCAACCTGGCCTTGGACACTTCCAGGGATCCAGGGGCAGCCACAGCTTCTCTGGGAAATCCATTCCAGGACCTCCCCATCATCACGGGGAAGAGCAAAGAGTAAATTTAGAGGTCATTTCCTTTCCCATCACTCCCCAAAACACCCCCCTGAGCCACACCCTTCTCATTTTCAATGCCTGAGAGCCGCAGGAGAGCTGGAAAAAGCACCCTTTCTCCAATTTCATTTTGCTGTATTATTTTATTTTTTAGAAAGCAGGGTTCCTATACAGAATAGCCACCGAAAAAGCCCAAAATCCCAAGGGCTGCAGCTGGAAATAGTGGCTGAAGCACTTGGTGAGGTGCTGTGGGCATGGTGAATTCAGCTCCACCACACTCGGGGCAGCTGCTGTAGCAGGGGGTGGGAGGGGGGGCCCTTGGGGTCACTTTGACTTCATACACCTAGAGACACATATACATACAGATATATTTATATAAGAACACACAGAGCTCCCTCCCAGCATCCCAGTGGTGTTCCCCAGGGTCAGGATTCCCCCTCACTTTCCCAACCCAAACGAGGGGCCGGCACAGCTGTGTTTTTGGGAGGGGAGAAGCTGGATCAGCCCCCAAGATCCCTGCCAGGCTGCTGCCAGAACGGGATGCTCAAGGTCCTTGTGCCACCCCCACGTGCTCCAGTGTGGTGCTCTCCTCCCGTGTCCCCTTTTTCCCGGGAATATTCTGTCAGTCAGCAAAGCCAGAGCTCGGGAAAGCCACGTTTCCTGGGCTCAGAGCTCTGCCCAAGCACGGTGGCATTTTAAAAAGTAATGACTTGGAGCCTCTTAACCCGCTTTAAGGCCACGGCAGGCACGTGTCCCAGCAGGCTGGGAATTCGGCAGATGGAAAAAAGGCCCCGTGGGGATGGGAAATTGGAGGGGGGCTGAGCTGCCTGTGGAGCCTCAGGGCAGCCCACGGGCCCCAGCACTGGTGGGGGGCTCGCTCGTGCCCCCCACTCGATGACACGTCCTCAGAGGGGCTGCACCAGGGCAGAGATGCCCCATCCCTGATGGTGGGGTTCACCTTCCCTGTGTCCCTGTTCCTCCCCTGCCGTGGGAAGAGCTGCTCTCCGTCGTGCCATTCCCAGCCTTGGTCACGGGGTTGGATTTTAGGGCGCTCTGAGGCACTGGCGGGTTGAAGAGATCACCGATTTGGGGTCACCACGTCTTTTAGGGGTGCCCCCCAAACTGAGATACCAAGCTGGAATTCAGCTTCGTGCTCAAGCCAGGAGAGAACCCCCAAGATGTCCCACTCCACAGCATCCAGCCAGGTGGTTCATCCCAAAATCCCACCGTGGCCAGGTCCTCGCCATCAACCAGCTGCAAACCTTTCCCACCACAGGCTGCTGAGGGTTCTGCCCTGGGTGTGGACAGCTAAAGGATGGTCTCCAACCCTCTGGGCACTTCAGCCTCTCTTCTCAAGGAGCTGAAACTCAGCCTTGTGGGACCCTGGGGGTTTCTCCCCAGTTCCTGCCCTGGAGCCCACCCTGCCTTCCCTCACCCGATGCTCCACGAGTTGTGGCAGCAGAGGATGAGGAACCCAAGCCAGTGATCCAGGACTCCATCCGTGCCTGCAAAGGGATCCTGAGGAGCCCTGGGCACGAGCTGCAGATGTCCAGGTGGATGTAACACTGAGCAAGAGGCTTTTGCCTGTGCCAGGTTGACACGGTGCAGGCAGAGGAGGAGGAGGATCCTCCAGCACAATTGATTTGAGACCCAAATGGGCAATTTCACCCTACTCGATTCCTTTGAAACAGAAATTGGCCTTGGCTGCCTCATGTCTTCCTAACAAGGAAGGCTGCAATTTCCACAGGCTCTGGAGAAAGGTGGGGCTGCTGAGGAGAAGTAATGGCCGTTATTAGACTAAATTGATGCAACTGGAGAAACCAGACACAAGGCAAGGCTCTGCCTCCAGCCCGAGAGCCCCAGGTGCCCCCAGCGCTCGCCTGCTTCCTCCAGCTGCACCAATTTGTGCACTCACTGCTGTTCCTGCTTCCTCCAAGCACCCCCCTCCTCCTCCCCGGGCTGTCTGACTGCCTGGCAATGACGGTGGCAAGGGGACAACAAGGACAAGTGGTGGCTCAGGGGTGTGGCACGGGGCTGACGGGGGGATTCGGGGAGGGGGAGCACCCATCAGTCATCGTTCAGCTGCAGGTGATGTGGCTCCTGCAGGATGTGGTGGGAGCTGGAGCTCGGCCATGCCTTTAGGGGGATGCTGCTCCATCCAGATGAGAGCTGAGACCCCCAGATCTCTGCCTCTTGCAGGCTGTGGGTCCTTGCTCGGTGCCTGCACAGCCTCTGTCCCTGCTTGGGGAATTGTGAAAGAAAGGGAATAGTTTTTTCATCTTCTCCTAAAAAACACAAAATAGCACAGCCCCATCCCATCCTTTTTGGCTCTGCTCTGGAAATCTGGGCAGTGCTGTTGCTCAGCCTTCTCCTGATGGGCAGGGAAGGCAGAGCCCTTGGCACTGCCCGTTGTTCCAGCCTAACTGCTTTAGCACTGCGAGAAACAACTCGAGTGCCCACAAATTACTCCCTTAATGAGGTTCTTCTCGGGCTTAATGTCTTCATCAGCTCCCTGTCACCTTGATGGATGCAGGGCACAGGGAATTTGGCACTGGCACGTGGGTAAAGAGTCAGCTTCAGGTATGCCCTGGCTGCATCCGTATTCCCAGCATCACACCCATGTCCAGGGCTGCCCTGGCTGCAGTCAGAGGTCTCTAAATAACAGAGTAATGACATCAGTGGTAGAAAGTTCTTCTCTGGGAGCAGTCCCAGATTGAAGGACTCCAGGTGTGGATCTGGAGCTCTTTGATTACAGTCTCTGAAGCGACATCATTTTCTCTTCCCGGCTCTGGTTGTTTCTTGGACACAGCTCAGAGGGGGATGGACTGATGTCCCATCATCTGGTGGAGGAAACAGCCTCAGGTCGTGCCAGGAGAGCTTTAGGTTGGATAGCAGGAAACATTTCTTCACTGAAAGGGCTGTCCAGCCCTGGCACAGCTGCCCAGGGCAGTGGTGGAGTCCCCATCCCTGCAGGGATTTAAAGCCCTGTGGATGTGGCACTCGGGGACATGGGTCAGTGGTGGCCTTGGTGGCCATGGGTCAGAGGGCTTTTCCAACCTGAACGATTCCATGGTCCTACAATCACCCCCTGGCACAGTCCCCTTATGCCACGGGAGCGTTTCCCCTCTTGCCATGGGCTGTGGTGCCACCTTGGCCCCTGCAGGAGGAGAAGCACATGGACACTGCAGTCCTGGTGTCCTGGGCTCTGCAGAGAGCCACGTTTGGGAGGGTGACAGCCCTTGCTGGGTGGCCTCAGTCAGGGTGGGAGCAGCAGCAGAGCAGCTCTGCCCGGGTTGATTCTTGTCCCGATCCTCTCCCTGCCCCGCTCGGCAAGTCCTGCTTCCCCCATCCCGCTTCTCCTGGGACAACCAAAGTCTCTGCAGTCACTGCGGGCACAACCCCCGGGGCGTCACCCGGCGGTGCCACCGCTCTGCTCAGAACTCCGTGGTGGTGACCTGGGTGACCTCCGAGCGCAGGTCGTCCCCTCCGCGTCCCCGGCAGCCCCGCTGGGGGCTGCCCACGCCTAGTCATGCCGGCTTGTTGGGGGCTTCCGAGGGGGTGCAGGTGGACACCTGCTCCCTCGTGGTGTTCCGGGCGCGGGAGAAGCTGTTCTGGTCCACGCGGGCTCGGAAGGGCAGGCAGAACTCCCGGAAGCACCGCTTGAAGTTCTCGTCCAGGAAGGCGTAGAGGACGGGGTTGAGGCTGCTGTTGGTGTAGCCCAGGGCGATGCAGAAGTGCAGGCTGGCCACCACGTAGGGGTTCTTCTTGTCGATGTCCACCAGCGTCCAGACGATGACGAAGATGTGGATGGGGGTCCAGCAGATGATGAAGGCGGCCACCACCACCAGCACCATGCGCGTGATGCGCCGCAGGTTCCGGTCCTTCTCCTTGGAGCCCGAGAGGAGGCGGACGCTCTTCAGGCGCAGGATCATCAGCCCGTAGCAGATGGTGATGACCAGGATGGGCACCAGGAAGGCGAAGATGAAGACGCAGATCTTGGTGACGGTGTCCCAGTAGATGGGAGGGTCAGGGAACTGCAGGGTGCACAGCACCATCCCGTCTGCGGGAGAGAGGGGGGTCACAGAGGGAGCTGGGGGGGCTCTGCTGTGGATACTCAGCCTTCTGGTCATGGCTGGGCACGTCCGTGCTTGTTGAAACCTCAGGGAGATGCATTCCCACCTGCCAGCTCTTGGCAGAGGCTCCCCAGAGCCACCAGCCCACAGTGGGTGCAGTGACCTGACCCCTGCAGAGCCTCCTGGGCCACCCCCACGCCACCTCCTCCCAATCCCTGTGGTGGACACATCCACCACGTCCCCATCCACTTCCTTGGGATGCCCAGAGCTTTCCCAGCAGCCAAGGGCTGCTGTCCCCACACAGGAACTGCAGATCTCAGCGTGGGCCAGCTGGGGACTTCGCAGCACCACCAGGGGTGTTCTTAGGAACCTGATTTCAGATATTCATAGAATATTCTGAGTTGGAAGGGATCCACAAAGATCATCAGCCCTTAAGTGAAATGGCCAGCACGGGGTTGAACCCTTGGTTCAGTGGTTGGCATCATTAGCACCACGCTGTAACCAATCTGCACCCCAGGAGCGGGGCAGGGGCACTGGTTGGACTGGAGATGGGGAAGGGTGTGGTGTCCCAGCCCTAAGGGGAAGGGCAGACAATGTCTGGAACACTTTCCAAGATGGAAAAATAGCACCATGATGCCTTTCCCATGACAGGACACATTTATGGTCCCACGGAGAGGTGCCCACCACCGACCCCAAACCCGCTGCGGGCGCCAAGTTCTCCAGGTCACTCCTGGGATGCACAGATAGGACAGGAGGGGACACATCCCCACAAAAAACCACTTGCCTTTTGACTTGGTGACCGCCATGATCATGATGGGCACCCCGATGAGGGAGGAGAGCACCCAGATGCAGACGTTGATGATCTTGGCCTTGGCCGGCGTGCGGAAGTCCAGGGCCTTGACCGGGTGGCACACGGCGACGTAGCGGTCCACGCTCATCATGGTGAGGGTGAAGATGCTGGTGAACATGTTGTAGTAGTCAATGGAGAGCACGACCTTGCAGAGCAGCTCCCCGAAGGGCCAGGTCTCCATGAGGTACTTGGCGCTCTGGAAGGGCAGCGTGCTGGTGGCCAGCGCGTCAGCCAGCGCCAGGTTGAAGATGTAGATGTTGGTGGCCGTCTTCATCTTGGTGTACCTGGGGAAGGGAGAGGTCACAGGGGGGTCAGGGCCCTTCCAGGTGTACCAGGGAGCACGTTGAGGAAGGACATTGAGCTGTGAGAGAATTGGGATTGTTCAGCCTGGAGAAGAAAAGGCTCCAGGGTGACCTAACTGTGGCCTTCCAGTGCCTGAATGAGCTGACAGGAAAGTTGGAGAGGGACTGTTTACAGGAGAGAGACTATTTACAAGGGCCTGGAGTGACAGGACACTGCCAGGGGACAGGGTTAGATGGGATAAATTCTTCCCAGTGTGGGTGGTGAGGTCCTGGCACAGGTTGCCCAGAGAAGCTGTGACTGCCCCATCCCTGGAAGTGTCCAAGGTCAGGTTGGAGGGGGTTTGACCCCTGCCACAGTGGTTATCTCATGTCCAGGGAGGTGGCACTCAGTCCATGCCTGCCTTTATTCAAAGCAAGGAAGAACTTTCCAGAGAAGTCAATTCTCCAATGAGATCAACTTACTCCATCTCCCTGACTCAGTTGCACCACGTCCTTTATCCTCCCAACCCTCCTCCATCTGATTTTCCACCCAGTAACTCGTGATTATCCAGCCTGCTTCCCTGTCAAGTTTACTTGCAGAAATTGGATCGATTACCCCCGGAAACAGGCCATCTGGAAACAGCCCAATTAGCCAGCCTGGAGCTCCAGAACCTTTGGGGAAGCCTGGCTGATTCTCCTGGGGCATTTGGCAAGGGCTGGCTCTGGTCCTTGTCACATCACGGCAAGAGAAACGCCTGGTCCTGCGTTCCCAAACCGTTCCTGAAGGGATGAGGCAAAGTTTTGGTGGATGCCAGGGCAGCAGGGATGTGTGTGTGTGCATCCTGGGAGCATCCAGCCCCCACAGGAGCTGCTCAAGGATGCTCTGAGTGTTGTGGTGGGTTGGAAGTGGATGCTGAGGGGTCTGCTGGGGGTCCCCAAAGGGCAGCACGTTGGGGTTGGGTGGGGGCAGCTCTGTGGCTCTGTTGGTTGGGTTAAGGGCAGGGCTGCACCAGCAGCTCCAGCCCTTCCCTGTGCTCCCTTCCAGCAAATCCTCGTAGCTCTGAGCATCCTCAGCAGCCCCGAGCTCGTTTGGATGCACCCTAATTAATTAACAACGGGGTTTGCACACGAGCATCTCTGTGCATGGCTAGACCTGCCCGTGGCATCGCTGGCCTGGGGCAGGGAGAGAGAACCCTTGGCTGCTGGATGAAAAGACGGTTTTTCTTGGAGTTCCCATCTCAGGTGATGCTGCTCTGACTGGAAGCCAGGAGACCAGGCTGCTGTAGGAAAGAAGAGAAGTTTTGGGGTGACCTAATTGTGGCCTTCCAGTCCCTGAAGGGAACCTACGAGAGAGATGGAAATTGGGCTGGGATTGGTGGTGGTGCTGCCCAACCCCTTCCCTTTGTCCTTTCTGCATCTCAGCAGGTCAGGAGAGCGTGTCAGTGGGGACAGAGACCCACCAGGTCCTGCTGTCAGCAGAACCAGGAGCTGGAGGCTGAAAAAAAAATCCATTTCTCTCTGGGGAGAAAAAAAAAAAATAAAGAAAACAGCAGCTCATCCCAGCTCCAACAGCGTTCCTTGTCTCCTTCACCGTGGCTGCAAATGGCAGCCCCTTGCCCAAGGGCGGAAATATTCGAGTTGAGCTTTTGTGGTTTTTTTTTCTTTTGGTTTTGTTTTATTCATTTTAAATACGGCATTAAAAAATGTCTTGCCCTTGAAAAGCCCTTTTCAGTTCTCTTTAGCGTTATTTTCCGGGCGCTTTTGCAAATGCATCTCTTCTTGGAAAAGTTTCCTTCCAGGTTAAACAAACAAACAAACAAACAAACAAAAGCTGAGAATTTGTGGTATTGTCAGGCTTTGCCTCTCCTGCAAACAAACAGGTTCAGGTGCATTCACACGTCCCTGGGCTCTGGGGTTTTGAGTAAAATGGGGCAAAAAAAACCCCAGTTATTCGTTCTGTGCTCTGCCAGGTGTGCTGGGTAAGCACTTCCCAACCCCTGCCAGATGTGCCAGGGGTGGAGGACAGGAGGGGCTGAGGCTTTTGCCCTCTCCCTGGGCAGGATGGGGCTGGTGAGGGTAAAACGGTGATGGGGATAACTGGGATGATGATGGGCATGACTGGGATGATGGATTGACTGGGATGGTGATGGGGATAACTGACTGGGATGATGGGGATGACACCTCAGCCCTCAGCACCGGGGTTTTGGGGCAGGATTCAGCCCCCTCCAGGCTTGAGCTGAGGTTCCAACCCCCTGCACAGGGTGGGGGGTCCATCCTGGTGACCCCCCCTCCGAGCTGCAAAGGAAGCTGCTGCTGCAGGAAAGAGGTTTCTTGCCCCCATTAGAGAGAACCGTCCTCTGCTGCTGATGGAGCTCCCCAGGCTGCCAAACCCTTCGTAATTAAGCGAGCGCCTTGATTGGGAAGTTACGCACTTGAACGGAACAGTCTGGGAGGTGTTGATGGAGAGGAGGGGAGGGAGGGGATGGAACAAGCACAGGGCAGTTCTGCATTCCAGGCTGGACTCCCAAGTAGGGACCCCCACGTCCTCTCCAAACCTCTCGGAAAATAAATAAGCGAAAGAAAAAGTGAATAATAAGCGAAAGAAAAAAACTCCTGGAGCTGCTAAAAGCCAAGGAACCCTGGGAGGCTCCTGGCAGGCTTGGCCAAGGGAAGGATGAGGGCACATCACCACAGCCACTCCTGAGCCAGGAGCTCGGAGGATGGTGTTTATTCACTCCATGGGAGACATTCCCCATGCCTGGAAGTGTTCAGAGCTGAGCTGGACAGGGCTTGGAGCAACCTGGGATAGTGGAAGGTGTCCCTGCCCGTGGCAGGGGGTGGAACGAGATGGTCTTAAAGTCTCTTCCAACCCAAATCATTCCACAATTCTACGATTCTGTGTTTAATTCCAGAATCAGGTGGGAAATGGGAGGCTGGAAGCCACGGTGATGGGATCTGTGGATCTGGAGAGTCAGGCCTGCTAAAGCCTGGTTAAGGTGAGGTTACTCAGTGAGTAAAACAGGGAAGATGTGGTTTACACGTGACACTGGTCTCTTTAAAACACCCTCCCCTCTCTCCCTGCCGAGCAGAAGCAGCTGGAGGGGGTCTAATAACACTCATCCCTCACCCTGACACCGCTCGTGGCTCTGACTCTGCCGCAATTACCTCAATTTGCTTTTTCAGACCAGGGCTCATTTTTAACTCCGCTTCGAGTGGCTGAAAAATCCTGTTGGGTGTCAGGTCAGGTCAGGCAGTGACACCCCAACCCCTGTCCCCATCACCCACCCTGCGGGATGACTGAAGGCACAACCCAAAGAGTGGGGAGCTGGGGCTGTGGGGGGGATCACACGAGGGTGATGGGCAGCCCAGAGTGGCTCACGGATACGTTTCAGGCTCATTTCCTCCCCTCCGGTGAGTCACCACATTTATCCCTGCACAGGCAGTGCTGACCTCCTGTAACCATCGCTGTGGACTGACAGGGATGGGAAAAGGGCGTGGAAATGGTTAAAAAATGGGGATTTGGCCGGGTTGCCACCAGCTCTGGTTTGGCTCCCGGGAGTTTTGGCCAGGCTGGGGTTACAACAACCGCTGAGGCGATGGGAATTGGGGTTAATCCCACAAATCCTGGAGCCCAGGAAAAGACCCCTCCAGCGTGTGTGTGGGGTGCAAAGGCCAGCACCCAGTGAGACCCCTGTGCTCCCTCCTGCCAGGCTGGAGGTGCAGGAGTCTGTGCCAGTGCAGAGTGTGACAGCAGTGGGACAGTGAGCACAGCCCTGTCCTCCACTGCCAGCAGGGTCTGGGGGCCATGGGGTGGGCTCTGACAGCCCCCCCCCACTGCTGATGCTGGTCCTGTGCTCTGCAAGACTCGGCTTTATTGTCCCACATTCCATCTTGTTCAGGCAGGACCAACCAGTGCCTCGGACAAAGGGGCTGACGGGAGCTTTTGTACCTCAGCACAGGTGCCAGGCTGCACACAGCAGTGCCCCATCTTGAACATGGGGGGTGTTGGGGTCCTGTTGCTTGTCCTGGCGTGCAGAGACCCCTCAGCCCCCCTCCCTGCCCAGGGAAAGCCTCAACAAAGATGCCAAGGTCCTGGATGGAGCCAAAGGAGGAGTTGGGTTCCCCTGGGACAGGAGAGGGGTCTCTCTGCCGCTGGAGCTGGTACCCCCGCGCTGGGGGCTCAGGGACAGCTCGGCCGTGGTGGGAGCTGGAAGGTGGGAGCTGGGGCCGGGCCACGCGGCTCTGGCTCTTTGTTAGAGCAGAGCAGGAGTCGGGCGGCTGCGGGAGCCGCCGGCAGGAGCAGGAGCTGGGGATGGGCTGGATGGGTAATTCTCTCTCATGGAGTGGGGTGGTGCCAGTGGGAGCCCACCAGCCCCTCTGCCCCGGGTGTGTGTGTGTGGGGGGTCTGTGATCAGGGCAGCTCCCAGCCCCCAGCGTGCCCAGCCCTGCGGTTCCTCTCCCTCACACAGGGCTAGGGGACACTCAGTACTGCTCGGGTCGGGCCGTCCCCCCAAACGCGGCTCCCCTGCCTCTCCCCACCCCTCCCACGAGCTGCTCCGTGCCCACATAGCCTCTGCTTTTACCCCTCGCACAGCACCTGGACCCCCCACACACACACACGTGTGTGTGCTTGGACACACACGCTACGCACACGCGTGTCACACCCATCTCGGTGCAGCCTGCTCGCAGCACCCGGTGCACGCCCACCCTCCCTCCTCCTGCCCACACCCCGGGCACACTCACACCCCGGGCACACTCAGATTCACACCCTGGGCACACTCAGATTCACACCCTGGGCACACTCACGCTCATCCCTCGTGCACCCTCACCTTGCTGCTGGTTCACACGTGGCACACGCTCGCTCCTGGTGCTGTCTCACCCCCGGTGCACGCTCACACTCGCCCCTCTGCACTCTCCTGATGCACACACTCACTCCTGCTGCCGCCTCACCCCGGTGCTGTCTCACACTCGGTGCACACCCGCTCCTCTTGCCCTCTCACACCTCGCAGGTGCTGCACACTCACCCCCAGCCCGCCCCGGCTCCCTCTGCCCTGTCACCCGCCCCCCATGCCCCGCTCTCACCTGACGATGCCGTACATGACCAGGACGTTGCCCAGCAGCCCCACCACGCACACCACGGAGTAGAGCGCGGTGATGACGATGGCGATCAGGATGGACGTGGCGTTCTTGGCCCTCGGCGGGCCCGTCTCGTTGCCCCCGTGCCCGGGCAGGGGGTCCCAGGCGGTGCCGTTGTCCCAGGGGGTGGCGGCGGCCGAGGGCAGCACCGAGGGCAGCACCGTGCTCAGCTCCATGGCCACATCCATGGCCACATCCGTGGGCAGCTCCATGGCCCTTGGGCGGCCGTGGCCCCGTCGGGGCTCCCGGGGCGCACCCGAGCACCGCGGGTTCGAGCCCCGCTCCCGCCCGGTGCCGCCGCCGCCGCTCCCGCACCCGCGCGGGGCCGGGGACGCTTTATAAACCCGCGTGTCCCCCGAGCCACGTGGGGCGGGGGCGGCCCTGTTCGCCTGCCCGCCCCCCACCCGCCTGCCTGCACCCCCCCCGCTCCCTGCCTGCTCTCCTCTCCCCCTGCTCCCTACCTGTCCCCCCCGCGCTGCCGCGTCCCTGCCTTCCTCCCCCTCGGTCCCTGCCTGCCGCCTTTCTCCCCGCGGCAGGTCCTTATCTTCCCTCCCCGATCTCTTTTTCCTTCATCCCTGTTTGCGTCCTCCCCATCCTTACCTGCTCCCCGTATCCCTGTCTGATTCCCCCCTCCTTACCTGCTCCCTCCATCCCTGCCCCTCCCTCCCCATCACTGCCTGTCCCCCCTATCCCTGCCTGCCCCCATCCCTCCTTTCCTTCCTTCCTTTCTCCCCCCCTCTGATCCCTACCTGCGCCCCTAGACCCCGCCCCGCTTGTCTCTCTCTCCTCCCCATCCCTTCCATCCTCCCCTCCCGGTCCTGCCTTCCCATCCCCTGCCCGACCCTCGCCCCCCCAGCAATTCCTGCTTCCCTTCCCACCACCCAGGTCCCCACCTGCACCCCCCCCTCCCCATCCCTGCCTCTCCCCTCCATCCCTGCCTGTCTTCCCCACCCCACTCCCTGTCCCCACATCCCTCCCGGTCCCTGCCTTCCCCTATCCCTGCCTTCCCCTATCCCCGGCGAGGGCTGCGGGGGCGGCCCCGATCGTCCCGGGGGTCCCCGGGCTGGAGGAGGGGGGCTGAGATGGATCCCGACGTTGTGGCTGTTTCGAGTTTTCTTTGTCTGGAAGTGGAAGAAAGAGGGGGGAAAACCAGCCCCCTTGTCCCCAAAACAAACCGGGGGCTCTCCAGTCCCTCCACCTTTCCCCCCCGTCTCTCTTTTCCCACCCCCTCCCACATATGTTGTGGTGCCGGGTGGGTTTGGGGTGCTGAGGAGGTTTGGGAGGAGGTTACAGGGGGATTCAGGAAGGAATTGGAGCGATAGTGGCAGCAGGGGGGCTTTGTAGGGATGCTGGGCAGGGGGGAGGATGGGAGGGTACTCTGAGTGAAGGGTTTGGGGGGATGCTGAAGAGGGATCTGGGGAGCAGTGCTGGGGGGACTTAGGAGGGAACCTTGGGAGGGGATAAAGAGGGATGCTCGAGGGGTTAAAGAGGGTTCCTGGGGGTCTTAGGAGAGCTGCTGCTGCAGGCTGAGGGGTTTAGGGGGAAGCTGCAGGGTGGGGGTGCAAACACAGACCCATCAGCACCACCTGCTCAACAGAGCTGGGCTTTGCAGGGTGCTGAGGCTCACCCTCCCCTTTCCAAGGATCCTTGGGGCAGGACCCCCCTCCTCTGGCAGGGCTCCCCCCTTTCAGAATTTGCAAACCCTAAGAGCCTTATTTCTCCTGGAGCCCCAGTGGAGGGGGGTACCCACATTTGGGGTGTCCCCCTCTATTTGCTTTGGGGATGGATTAATTCACCACCCCGGGGCAGCGCTGGGTGTGCCTGGGGAGGACGATTTGGTGCAATTTTGGGTGCTTTTGGCTCAGGAGGGGTGGATTAGGGGACACAGGACTTGGAGGAGAGACCAGCAGCTGGTTCAGCCCTGGAGACGGGGTTTTCAGCCTTGCACAGAGCTCTGCCAGCATCAAACTCCTGCAGTGCTGAAGCATCCAGACATTTCATCAAGAGCCTCATAAAAACGCCCAGGAGGGAATTAATGGCTTTTCATTCATCCCGTGGTTCAGATGGCATCCAGCTCCGGGGCCGCTGAGCGGGGAGGCAGGAACAACGTGCCGTGGATTTCTGTCAGCACAGTGAGGGGTTTGGTGGCCCTGGCTTTGTCCCAGAGGGGTGGTGGGAGGGGTCCAGGAGGGAACTGGGAGCGCAGGGATGGATTTAATGTGCGTTATCTTGGGTGCTGCGCTTGGGATGCACCACCCTGTCTACCTGCAGGGTGTTCCCATCCCTGTGACGAGGCAGGACAGAGGGGTGCACCCTGCACGTGGTGCAGGACACGGGGTTTAAGGACCTTCCCGGGGTGAAAACCCCCTCCCAGACCCAGAGCGAGGTGTTGAGTCCCTGCCCTGCCCGGCTCTGACGCAGGAGGGCTCCTGATCACTCCCAGCGGGAGGAAAACGTCAGGTCGAGGAGTGTAAAACAGCTTTTAACGCGGCTGAGGAGCTCTTTGGAAGAGGACTCATCCCTTTCCTTGGCCCCCGGCACGGCCGGAGCCCCCACCCTGACCCTTTTCCAAGGGGTTATCCACAAAGGACTAATCATCCTGGCAGGTCCCAGCAAACACGTCCTCTCGGCTCAGCTCCGGCACTGCTTTAATTTTATTCTTTCTCTTTTTTCTTTTTTTCTTTTTTTCTTTTTCTTTTTTTCAGCTGGAATGTTAAAAATAAACCCAGAGGACACATAAAACAAATGAAAAAAATCTTTAAAAGGCCTTTGGTGTTGATCTGCCTGTGCTCAGTTGTTGCTGCTCTGCCTGCCCAGCCCGACCACTGCCATGGATGGGCTTTCCAAAATTGGGGAAACTGAGGCACTTCCATCCCTGGAAGTGTCCAAAGCCAGGTTGGACAGGGCTTGGAGCAACCTGGGCTACTGGAAGGTGTCCCTGCCCATGGCAGGGGGTGGGACTGGATCATCTTTAAGGTTCAAACCCATCCTGTGATTCCGTGATCTTGGATCGTGCCCCGCTCTCCCAAGGGATTGCTCCTCTTGGGAAGTTCTCCATGGCAATGCCTTAGCTCTTATTTTCTTATTTTCTCCTCCACACCTTGAAAAACGTATAAATAATAAATCAAATCGAGGAGGTGAGGCTGTCAGGGAGGAAAATTCACAGTGCTCATCTGCCTGGTGAGCTGGGATCCATCCAGGGGGATTTACAGCTGGAGCCACTGACGGCAGCACTTTGATTTACTCAGAGGCTGCAAACTTGACAAAGTGTATTTCACACTGGGAAGACCCACTTCCCCTCTGGAATTTATGGGTTTTAATTAAAGTGGCCATAAAAATAACAGGCAGGAGCCTTGAATCTGCTCTGGCAGGACTCCAGCCAGAATCCATGGGAATCTCTGGAGGTTAATTTAATGCAGGAGGAAATGGGGGAGGCGGAGGTTTCTCCCCAAAGATTTTTGGGAATTCAGGAGGGCACTGAGCCTCTGTAGGTGCTTCTCACCTTGTCCTGCCACGGCCCTGTTAGGGAGAGGCTTGGGCAGAGCTCTGGTGACACCAGAGCTGCATCCTGTGCCAAGGTGGGAGCCAGGGCAGCTCTGCCAGGTGTAGAACTGTGATAGAAATACATCCATGTCTAAAACATAAATATATAACAATTATTTAGGCATTTTCATATCACTTCCAGATTGGCAGCCAGCTGGAGTCCTGCCTGTGACATTTCAGGGCTGCTCTCTGTGGAGCAGAGAGGGGAAGCTTCAGTTTTCATTCTTCTTCCATAGTGCTCATCTTCATAGAATCATGGAGTAATGGAATGGTTTGGGCTGGAAGGGACCTCAAAGCTCATTCCCTTCCACCTCCTGCCATGGGCAGGGACACCTTCCACTATCCCAGGTTGCTCCAAGCCCTGTCCAACCTGGCCTTGGACACTTCCAGGGGATGGAAGTGCTCCCTTTTTACTGTTTTTTTAATCCCCAAACCTGAAGAAGCAGTGCTGGGACAGCCGAGTGTATGGGCTTTCAGCTGGGGTGAGGGTTGTTTCTGGCAAGAGGAGCAGCCTCCAGTGTCTCCTCCTGGGCTCTCCTGCTTCCCTCATGGTCCCTGTGCCTCTCTCTCACCTCCCAGTGCTACAAAAGGAGGATTTTATTTGTGCAGGGTTTTGCCTTTAAAGCAAATACTGCCCAGGCCTGGAGCTCTGTGTCTGTGATCGATCCTGTGGGGATGGGGACACGGTGGCTGAAAGGCACCACATCCCAAAATAACCCTGTTGGGGCAGCAAATGGACAAACCCCTCAACAAATCCATTGCCCTGGAAGTCAAAATCAGATGCTGCTTGGAAAGCCTCTGGAATGTTTCACCTGCACCCTGCCAAGAGAAGGAGTTATGTGCCTGGTTTTGCTCTTGATAGTGAAAAACACATGCAAAAAGAGCAGGGTTGTGTTTGCACCATCCATCCATCCATCCATCCATCCACCCATCCATCCATCCATCCATCCATCCATCCCTCCATCCATCCCCCTGTAGAAGTGATGCACCAGCCCTTGCAGAGGGATTTGCCAGCCCCTCCCTGCTGGCCCTGAGCTGCTGTTACCCTTCTCCAGGGTCTGATCCCCCATCCCAACTCAGAAACCCAAGCTGTCAGCACGGTGCAGGCACCAGGATGGAGTTCATTTTGTGGTGAGCCACTTTTTTTTTGGGGGGTGGCTCCACTGGCACCCAGCTCCTCTCATTTAGGAGGATGAGCCAGGGCATGTGCAGAACCACACCTTGGGGAATTGCAGCAGAAAATGTCACTCTGTTTTCTGTAGATTTGAGATGTTTTGGAGCTTTGGAGAGAATGGACCAGATGCTCCACGAGCATCCCAACCGCACCGGTACCCACCGAGCTGCAAGTCCAGGCTGCTCCCCCATCTCCCCAGGGCTCATCACTTCTCCTCCCGCCACTGACAGCTCCAGATAAATCGGCCTTGAAGAGGAAAATGGGCTGATTTGTGTGTTTTGTTTTCCCACGTCAACATATCTGAGTGTTTTCATACCTTGCGGGGCAGCTGCTGGAAAGAACAAAGCCCGTCCGTCAGGGGAGTTAAAATTAGATGAGATTCTTCTCTGCCTCCCCATTCTGCGTGGCTGCATGGGAGGGGGGCAGGGGGGGTTTGCAGCTTTGTTTCCTCGGCATTTTGGGGGTGGGGGGCTGTGTCCGAGGGCAGGGTTTGCACACCGGGCTGCCCGGAGTCGGAATCGGATCTGGGGGTTGGGTGGGAAAACTGCTGAGCACCTTGCAGGCAACAATCCCCTCCTGGAGGTCGGTGGTGTCCCGAGGGTGATGCCACCACTATCCCTGAGATTTTCTCGGGACATG